GCCCCTCCACATGTTCTTACCTTGATGTACCACCCTGAGAGAGGAATAAAAGCAATGGCATCTACCATTCATGGACAAAACCCCTAAACTGTGAGTCAAAATGAACTTTTCTCTTTATAAATTGATTTTTCATATATTTGTTACAGTAATGAAAAGCTAACCTATATTGCTATAAAATCTTTAGTACAGTGCCTTGCTACATAGTGGGAACCCAATTGTATTAGCTATGGTGTTAACCATCTTTATGTAAATAACAGGAGTGTTTCTGGGAGGGAAAAAAAGTCAGATTGGGCCCATATAATGACATTGTTTTAATGAATGTTTGTAAGGCATCTGTAAAGCCAAAGACATACCCACTGTGTTCTGAGTACATAGCTGGACAAGATGCGTCAACTAGGTTTTATCAGAACACTAAGCTATCTGACCATTGTTATAGTCATTTAAAGTATTTTTCACCATTCAACTCTCCACAATTAAAAAAAAAATCAAATGATGAACCACAGTTAAATTTCTTTTCAGTTCTTCATTTCTACTAAAGACTGCATTGGGTCCTACAAATGGAAGTGGAAGGGATGTGAAAATAGATCTTAACTTCCTGGATAATCAGGTATGAGGGTTAACTTTATGTGTCAACTTGGGTTACTCAGATAGCTGATGAAATATTTCTGGATGTCTGTGAGGGTATTTCCAAAGAAGACAGGGATTTGAATTAGAAGACTTGGTAAAGAAGATCTGCCTCCATCAATGCAGGCAGACATCATCTGATCCATTGAGCAATCACCTGAACAGAACAAAGAGATGGAGGAAGGGACAATTTGCTCTGCTCTTGAGCTAAGCACTTTTTTTTTTTTTTTTTTCCTATACTGGGATATAAGGGCTTCTGGTTCTTTGGTATTTAGACTCTAGAACTTACACCAGAACCCCCTCAGTTCCATATTCCTTGACTTCTAAACTGAAAATTACACTGTCAGCTGCACTGGGTGATAATTAAAGTTGAACTGAATTATGTCACTGGCTTTCCTTAGTCTCCAGCTTGCAGATAACATATTGTGGGACTTTTTAGCCTCCATACTTATGTAAGTTAATGAATCTTCTCTTAGAATTCTGCATAGAATCTATTGGCTCTGTTCCTCTCTGAGATCTCATATAGGACACACTCTCTTAATTTTATAGGCCAATTTTAGTCATAATTACACAGATTATGTAATTGATGTATTACACAGATTATGTAATTTCAAAGGACAGTAGTAATAGAAAGAATTCAAATATGAGCTCACCTGGGCATAGGCTTTGCTCCTTAGAAATTATTATAGCTTACATAGTTATTTCTCTTCTGAGAGTGTATCTATAGTACCTTTAGTTCTGTGGAAGCTGTTGCAAGAAGGTAAAAAATATCACACAAACAGACAATTGATTTGATAGCTCCTTCTTTAATTTTGTCATTTTCTAGTTTTGAAATAGGGTTTGTCTGAAAAGGCTGGGAGAGCCTGGGAGAGAAATATACCCAAAGATGCTCTGGTGCTATGGATATTCCATTTCAAGAAAAGATCCAAAAGGTAAAATATTTCCTTTTTCCATATGCCAGGGTAGCTCTAAGAATCTTCAAGAGGAACTTTTAATTTGGTTTCTAGGATGTGGTGTTTTTTAGATTAGGTCTGTTCTATTATAAGGATCAATGCTTTCTTCTATCAAGTACTATGGGTAAAACTTTTTGCCTAATATCCTAGTTATGTGTAAATTGTCACCATGGTAGCAAACTCTTCTTTTGTTTTTACTCCTGCTTCTTCACCCACGTTTTTTATTCTTAAGTTATAGATCCTCGTGTCTTCTTCTAGCCTTTGTATTGTTATTGCCAGTTTCCTTGTTATTAAGAGATCTCTCCTTTCATGATCACTCATTGCAAACCTTTCTTCAAGGTTTGATAGTCTATCCTTAGCTTCTTTCAAGCATTTCTGCCAGCTTTCAGTGGAGTTTTTAATTTCCTGGTAATCTCTATGAATCTGCCACATGTATTCTAGATTTTCTTTATATTCTTCATTGAACATTTTTCACTTTTTTTTTGTTCCTCCATTCTTCCGTGTGTTCTTGAGAGGTGCTTAACATTTCTTCTATTAATCTACTTATATCTTGCTTTACTTGAATCAATATTTCAGTTTCGAGCTCATCTATGAAGTCCTGAAGATATCTCTTTATGTCTGCTGATATGGTGTCTGACATTGCATGTTTGCTGCCCTGTCTCTTTTGTATTTACCGCTCCTGGATCAATATTTTCAGAGTTGGGGGTTGAGGGCATTTTTTAATTTCTTTCTCTTGTCATGTGTTTGGTTTCTTCCATAGAGGTGTATAGTGGAGGTCCCAGTCCCTTTCCTTGTTGGTTATGGTTCTTCTGAAGTGCGCTGGCTAGGGATTTCTGCTCTCTTCAGTTTGCTGATCGTCACTGAGGCGCAAGCAGGGCGGCGTATGGTGGCCCCTCCCCTCCGGGCCAATCAACCTTTGGGAGCCTTCACCACGTTAGTGTGTGCTGCCCATATGGAATCAGTTTGGGACAACTTATCGGGTCCTGGCCAGGGGCATGACCCGGGCCAAGCAGATCCTACCAATCTGCTCTGGGAAGGGAATAACTGACTGAAGTCACTGCCTCTCCTCGTTCAGGCCCATCCTGCCCAATTCCAACATGTTGTCCAGTTGGTCACCCCTTTCCCGTGGGAGGGCCTTATTCCTAGCACTCACCATGAGTTAATGCAGGTCCCTTGTGGGCTCTGTTCTTCGTTGGGCTTGCCAACCTCCTACTTCAGCACGACCACAGCTCCGGCGAGTTGTGGAAGTGCAAGTTTGCGTGGCTCAGGTGAGTTAAGGTGGTGTGGGTTTGGGCTGCTCTGGCAAGAATGCCATGACAGCTAATCTTAGCTGCTCCAATGGTAGCTCTGGGACCATGTGTTTAACCAGCTCTTCCCTTTAGTTTCTTCCTGGGTCTCAAGGATCCATCTCCCTCTGTCTGGACCTCTGCAGGATGTTTTATTCCGGCATCTGAGTTGTCTCTCTCAGTGAGGCTCTGTATCCTGCTGCATATCAACCTGCCATCTTTAGCTCCTCCATCTTGGTAGTAAACTCTTTACAAGCAATTCCTGTTACAAGATCAATCTCACTATCAGCTCCTGGTGCATAGTTAGGATCGTCATTTTCATATTCAGGTATAGGAAATGAAAGTGCACAATAGCTAGGTTTTCTTTATGTATTTATTTGCATATATATAAATATAAATATGTATATTATGTATTTTATTTTATTTTATTTTTTTTGGTACCGGAGATCAAACTCACAACCTTGTGCTTGCCAGGCTGGCACTTATATTGTTGAGCTAAATCTCCAGCCCCTAGAGGGACTTCTTATTATAGAGAGACTGAGGTAGAAGTGAGATGAGCAGCTTCCCCTCATATTGGATGTGTCAACTCTCAACATTATATTTATCAGGCTTTTTTTGGGGGGGAGTGGTACTGGGGATTGAACTCAGGACCTTGTACTTATCAGGTAGGTGCTTGTCAGGACCTTGCACTTATCAGGTAGGTGCTTGCACTTTTTAAGTTTCTGTAGTAAGTTTAAAAGATAGACCTCAGGAACTATCTTTGTAATTTTGAGAGGGAAACATGATCGTGATTGGCTGACTCTAGATTTAAAATAGGTAGTTGTTTGCTGATTTGCTGACATAAATGAAATCAGTGGTTCAAGTCTTGTATTTCCAAACTCACTTTCAAAATCACAATGTTTGCTGGCTTGAAGATGCTGCTTCACAGAGCTTTATGAAAATGAAAAAAATAAAAACAAAACAACACAACAACAAAAGCAAACCAATCAACCAACCAACCAAAACATACTACTTCCTCAAGGAGTAAAGGTTTTACTTCTGGATTTGCTTCTTACTCTATGAGCTAACTGTGCTCCCTGAGTTTCACTTTCTGCATATGAGAATGACAATACCTCTTCCCTAAACTGAGATAAAGGTAAAAAAGGGTTAGTTAAAATAATAATCCAGAGACCTGTACAATTCTTTCTTTCTTTTTTTTTTTTTTTTGTCTTTTTCCTTTTTATCGGTACCAGGGATCGAACTCACAACTGCCTGCTTGCAAGGCAGGCGTTTATGCTGCTGAGCTAAATCCCCAGCCCCAACCTGTACAATTCTTTTACAATGAATGAATCAAGTTGAAATAATGCAACATATTCACAAGAGGGTATCCCATATATTTCAATTAAAAATCAAACAAGTATTTGCTGGAATGATCAGTGTGGCCCCTGGAGAAACAAGCAGCTTAGATACATTAAGTCAGGCAATATCTCAGTGATAGAGAAACCATATAATAACCAACCTGTTCCTATGAGATCTGTTATGGTTGAATTTAGAAAGACTCCCAAAGTCTCGTGTGTTCAGAGATGTTTTAGAAGGTGATTACATCATAGAATGCTATACTCATCAATAGATTCATCCACTAATCAATCCATAGTTAAATATGCTATTAGGAGGTTGGGTATGGTTGGGGGCTGGCCACTGGTGGTGTATTCTTATTCCTGGCTCTTCTTTTCCTCTCTCACCTCTTGGCCTGCATGACATGAACAACTTTCCTCTGCCAGGTTCTTCTACTATGCCCCTTCTGCCTTGGAGCCAGCTGAGTATGAAATGAATTCTCTAGAAATCATAAATCAAAATAAACTATTCCTTTTTTAAGTTGTGAGTGTCAGGTATTTCCATTCCAGTGAAAGGGAAGTGAGTAAAACAAAACCTGAATATAAGTTGGATCAAATGACATCCTATGGATTTCAAGTCTGAGACCTCAAAGTACTGCTTTTAAAATGAGTTGGGATAGGTAAAGTTAATATATATTAAAGTACTCAAGGAAGGAAACACATATCATACCCTACTTCCCAAGTTACTTCTCACTTCCATACATTTGTACAGATACATTCAGATCAAACAGCATTCCCCAAATCATTGGAGATTCACACAGCTATGCCTTCTTTAGTATTTTTTATTTTCTGATCATATTTCATTGATGAGATTTGGAACATTATTTGAACACTATAAAACCTTATTCATTAAAGGAAACCAATAATAAGCTATACAAAATTAAATGATTTAAATAGCCCCAAGCTCCGTGTGTATTTGTGTGTGCAGAAACTGGAGAAAGCTAACTTTAATACAGTGTCCAGACTGCAAAATACAGATCCTTTTGTGGTTACTTTCAAGCTTCCTATAGAATACCCACCAATTTCTTCACTTCTTGGATCACAGGATATGCTAATTCTTTGGCCTTTGCTGATCCAGTGTGTAAAACCTTCTCTAAATATTGCTTGTCCATCTTCAGTTTTTCGATTTCATTCTTAATTGGAGCAAATTTCTCAATCACAGCCTCCGCTACCACCCGCTTGTAGTGGGCAGTATCAATGCCTATGCTACGGTGGACCACTTCCTCCACGGAGAGTCCTGTTACTGCAGCGTGGATTGCCACCAGGTTGGAGACGCCCTCTCGTCTAGCAGGGTCATAGGTGACCTCAGAAGTGAAGTCTGTCACAGCCTTACGGAATTTAGTCACTATCTCCTCTGGGCTGTCTGTTATCCGGACAGTGGCCAATCTGTCAGGGTCTGATTTTGACATTTTGGCAGAAGGGTCACGGAGGGATTTCACTTTCTTCATAGATGCTGGGTAATACCAACACACACATGCCAAAAAACAGAACAAAACAAAATATGAAACAAACAAAGCACCAGAAACGTCACTGTATAAATCTTGAAAACAACAAGAATATCAAATAATTATTATTTTACCTGATTATACAAATAATACTCATAGTGAAACTCAAGTAATGTATGAATGACTATCTCAGTCCTGATAACATTAACATTGTGCATTTTAAAGCATCTTTGAATGTACACAGTCACATAAAAATGTAAAATTTTACACAAAATTATGTCAGTCATTCTGCTTTTGTTGTGTACATATTTTAAACTATTCCTCTTCTTTTCTGCCCTATTACAAGTAATCTTTTCCTGTCTTTCCTGCCTCCCCTCCTCAATCAATTTTAACAATCTGTGGCAATTCTTCCATTTTCTCATCCAGGATTATGTAAGTTTTACATACACACACACACACACACACACACACACACACACACACACAGAGAGTCACATGTGACTTGTTTATTGCTGTTAGAATAAAGATGTTAATTTGTGCTTAATAAACCAGCGTTATTATTAGTAATTGCCTATTTTATGGCCATTACAGAAACATATAAAATTTAAATAAGTAAAATAATAATAGGTCAAAACATTAAAATCCTATTTATTGCTAAGGAAAGTTGACTTAAATGTATGGAGTACTCTGAATTTATTGTTGTGAGCTATTGAGCTAAATGCATTCACACACACACACACACACACACACACACACACACACACTGGATTTTTGTTTCTAACTGACACTAGGCACATATTATCCTCCTTTAAAATGCTGTCAGCTTAATAAAGATGGACAGTGCTCAGGTTCCATGATCTCTGATAGAGACTTGTGGCACCTGTCATGAAGAAGTTATACAGACTGAACAGCATCAGAAGGCTGGGGCTGACAGATCGGATCCAATAGGTGCATTACACACATTCCATCTCTCTGTCTCCATTTAGGTAGACAGAGTGTGAACCTAGTTGATTCCCTCTTGTTTTATCTAGATCTTTATTCAGCAGTTCTCATTCTTATGACGTATTTTATTGTATTTAGGAAGGCAAGGTACACAGAAGAACTCAGTGTAGGATCCAACTCTGATTTTAAGTAGACACAAATTGGTAAACAAAGTAAGATTTGCCAAGCCTTCATTTCTTTATTCATCTTATAGGAAAAGATATCTGCTCCATCAAATAAAAGTATATATTGTATAAATATACATATATATATATATAATTATAACGTATACACATAATTACATATTTAATACATTAAAGTATTATTTTTAGTTTTTGTTCTCTCATGCTAACTCAACAGTTTTAATTAACTTTTTCAATAATCCAATGCAGTCTAGTTGTCCTACATGAAAAAATGAGGATTCGAGCTATAAATCCTTATAACTGTCCGTGAGAAAGTTAAGTTTAGTAGCAAAACAGTCCCAAGTCTCTGTATATTATCCAGTCCTCTCTTCAAGTATGATTTAACAATCTCATTTGCTACTTACTTAGAATGGACTGGGGTACTGGAAAGAACTGACCGTATTTCTTGTTGAAACTTTGTGCTAGATCCTGAACTAACTCCATGTGTTGGACTTGATCTTCTCCAACAGGAACGTGTGTGGACCTTTAATAAAAGACAGACAGGAAAGCTCAGCAAGGCTGTGTCTTAGAAAGAAATAGTGTTGTAAGCAGCTATACTTCCTGTGCCTATTTCACTACTGATGTTCAACAAATATTCACCAACATTGAGAACCAATTCTTTATGTGTGTATCAGATGAATAGTTAATAGCCATTTGTCTATTCTGTTTTGTTTCTTCCACAGCAGAGAAATACAGCCATCAACACCAGTGTGATAGGACCTTGCTGGGGAGGATGAATGGGATTTTCAATAGCATATGCTGTACCCATAATTGCATTTTAAAGTCACTTTGTTTTCTCATCCAGTCAGGGAATATTATTCCAGGCTTAGTTAAGTACTTTTTACCTTGGAGCAGTGGCTCACAGTTGAAAGACACCACGTTCCCAACTTAGAATCAAAAATAGCAGAAAGCTCAGCTCTTCAGGCAAGAATGTTTCCTCCTTGGCACACAGGGAATAACTAACGATCTTTTTGGAATATACTTAAGTTTTAAGTAAATTGCCATCACAGGACAATTAATATGCTGTAGGGAAAGGAAATGAACAAAATCTACAAGTACAATGTAACTGGAAGTTAAAAACGATGTGGGATGAAGAAAGTTGGTATAAAAACTTACAGGAGTGAAAACACCTCCTCAAATCTATGTGATAGCTACTTCCAGAGAACATGGGCCTGAGGTTAAGACATGGGTCTGAAGAAAGGAACAAAGGAGATCTCAAGTTTATCTGTAACACTTTACTTTATTAAACATATGAAAAACAAAAAATCAGAATATAGGGAATTTATAAGTACTTTAATTTCATATATGAAATTTGCTGGGTCAGATCATGATGAGGTATTCCAAATAACAATAGAATTAAGCATTATAAAGTAGCCTTGGTGGGGAAAACTTTGTACTGAAGTGTTAGGGTGGGTAGAGTCAGGTGATTTTAAGTATGTATTTAATACTTGGCTGGCAAGTTTATATTTGATGATACAGCTAATAAGTGGTCATACTTCCTTGATCAAAGAAATTTAATATTACTGCTGTGAAAGAAGCAATTAAAAGTTCCTGCACACCATCTCAAGCCCCAGGAGAGGTTAAGATCATCGCTCCCAGTGGTCAAAGACCCATCCAGCTTCCAGCCACACTACACTGGACTCTTCAGGTTTTGGGCCTGTCTGGGCCATGACCAGTGACCTTCTTTCAATATGGGGAACTGGGCTTCAGAGGAGGTGAGTTCCTGCACACCATCCCAAGCTCTAGGAGACTTCAAGATCATCGTTCCAAGTGATGAATGACCCACCCAGATTCCAGCCACACTAGACTGGACTCTGAGGTTTCAAGCCTGCCTGGACCAGGACCAGTGACCTTTCAATCCAGGGAAGAGGTTTGCCTGCAGGGGTGAGTTCCTGCACACCATCAGAGCTCCGGGAGAGTTTAACATTCATCACTCCCAGAGGTCAAAGACCCGTCCAGCTTCCAGCCACACTAGACTAGGCTTGGGAGGTTTTGCAGCCTGACTAGATTACACCCAGTGACCTTTTTCAATCAGGGAAGTTGAGAGCACGTGAAGTTCCAGTAAATTGGTTCTCGCCCAGAGAGAGCTTTGGACCATCATCCACAGTGGTTAGGTCCCCGCCCAGCTTCCTAGAATACTGGAGGTGACATGAGAAGGCCTGAGGGCCTAATTGGACCACACTCAGCAACCTCCATTCAGTCCCAGGAGCTGAGGGCATAAGAGATGATTTCTAACACGTGCAGGGGAAGCCATGGAAAAACACTTGAAACACAGAAATATAGGAAAATGATGAAACGAAAGACCAAAATGCAATCTCAAACCTGCAGCCCAACCCACAAAAGCCTACGAGCCATGTACAAAGAAGAAAATATACGCCATACACCTGAAATAATAGCAACTGAAATAAAGAAGCAACTTCAGGAAGCTCTAAGGAATTCAAACAAGAAATAATCTCCAAGGTAAAAGAAGAAATGATAAAAGTAATGAAAGAGATGCTGAACACATCTAAAGAAGATACAGTTAAAAAATTAGAAGAACAACAAAACAATAGAATCCCTAGATGAACAATATAAGAAACAAACAGAATGAATGAGGTAGATTCAAAGAAATACACAGGAAATGAAAAATTCCATTGAAAGCTGTCAAACGAAAGCTGCCTCAACGAAAGTGAAGACAGAATTTCAGACCGCGAAGACAAGATTGTAGCTAGTGAACAGCAAAGGAAAGATCTTTTAAAAATAAGAAATCAGGCAATAATTCAACAGCTGCAAGATGATGCAAAAAAAAAAAAAAAAAAACCATAAGATTGATAGGGATAAATGAAAAAGAAGTGGATAACACAAACAATATCAAGAGGATATTTAGAGAATAGCTGAAAATTTGCCAAATATGAGAATGGAAACTGACATTAAGATTAGTGAAGCATATAGAACTCCAAATAACCATAACCAAATAAAACTACACCTAGACAGATAATAATCACCATCTCGGAAATTCAACGTAAGAACAGAATATTAAAACCTGTTAGAGAGAAGAGACAGATCACCTATAAAGAAAAACCTATTAGAATCAAAGCAGGCTTCTCAACACAGACAATGAAGTAAAAAAATGCATGGAGTGAAGAATTTCAGATCCTAAAGGAAAATGATTTCCAACACAGACTGATGTACTCTGCAAAACTGTCCTGCAAAAGGGATGGAAAAATAAGACACTTCCATGACAACAGCTGCAGAACTTCGTGATCACCAAGCAAACCCTGCAAAGAATACTGAAAGACAGCTTAGATACACATAGGAAAAAAATCACTAAGCAAGGCAAACAACTAAACTGAATGTAAGGATAAAGATGCAGCATCAGAAAGATAACATGTCAACAATAAACCAGCATATGACAGTTAAAATGGTCTCAATTCATCAATTAAAAGAAACAGACTGGCAGAATGGATCAAGAAACAACATCCAATCATATGCTGTCTACAAGAAATCCATCTAATACAAAATGAAACTCACTGACTGAAACTGAAGGCCATCTATGACAAACCAAAAGCCAGCATCATATTAAATGGCCAAAAAACTAAATGCCTTTACCTTAAAATCAGGCATAAGACAATGATATCCCTTATCACTGCTCCTATTACTAGCCAGAGCAATTAGACAAGAGAGAGAAATAAAAGGGGTAAAGATAGGAAAAGAGGAAGTTAAATTATCATTATTTGCAGATGACATGATACTCTACATAGAAGACCCCAAAACTCCATTGAAAGACTCCTAGATATAATAAATAAATTGAGCAATGTAGCTGGATACAAAATCAATACTCAAAAATCAATAGCATTCCTATACACTAACAACAAAATCACTGAAAGAGAAATAAGAGAAGCCACACCCTTCAAACTAGCATCCAAAAAATGAAATTCTTAGGAATTAATCTCATGAAAGAAGTAAAAGATCTAGAGAGGGTAAATTATAACACCCTGAAAAAGAAATCAAAATCAGAAAACGGAAAGACATCCCTTGTTCATGGATAAGAAGAATAAACATTGTGAAAATGGCCATTCTCCCAAAACTGTTATATAGATTCAACACAATCCCAATGAAAATACAATCAACATACTTCATATATCTAGAGAAATCATTCCTAAAATTCATTAGAATTAGAAAAGACCTAGAATAGCAAAGACAGTTCTAAGCAGCAAAGGCAAAGCAGGAAGCATCACAGTCCCTGACTTGAAGTTATACTACGAAGCAATCAACATATTACTGGAATAAAAACAGAGCTGAAGATCAATGGAATAGATCAGAAGATACAACCACAATTACAAACACACTCATCCACCTTATCTTTGATAAAGGGGCCAAATGGAAGAATGACAGTCTCTTTAACAAATGGTACTGGAAAAACTGGCTCTCTATATGCCAAAAACTAAAACTAGACCCATGTCTATCACCACGTACTAAACTAAAATTTAAATGGATCAAAGATCTGAATATTAAAACAGAAACACTATAACTGTTGGAAGACAGATTGGGTAAAATTCTTGAAGACATAAGGGTAGGTAGAGAATTCATAAACAGGAATCAAACCTCCTGGGAAATACTTCCCAGAATCAATACCTGGGATCATGCCTTATTAAAAAGTTTCTGCATGTTGAAAGAAATCTCTAGCATAGTGAAAAGAAAACTCACAAACTGGGAAAAAATCTTAGTGAACTGTCCCTCAGACAAAGGACTTCTGTCTAAAACATATAAAGAATTAAAAAATCAAACCCCTGAAATTCAAAGACCCAATCCAAAAATAGGCATCTGAGATGAATCCACAGTTCTCAGATGAAGAAATACAAATGGCAAATAAATACATGAAAAAATCTTCATCATCATTAGTCATTAGAGAAATGCAAATTAAAACCATACTGAGATTCCATCTCACTCCTGAAAGAATGGCCAGGATCAAGAAAACTGCCCACAACAAATGCTAGAGAGGCTGTGGGGAAAAAAGAACTCTCCTGCCCTGTTGGTGGGATTGTAGACTGGCAAACACTGTGGAGGTCATTCTGGAGATTTCTCAAAAGGCTTGGATTGGAAGTCCCATTTGATCCAGCTATACCACTTCTAGGCATATTCCCAGAAGAACTGAAAACATCACACTATAGTGATATATGTGCATCCATGTTTATAGCCACACAATTTGTAATAGCTCAGGCTAAGAAACAACTTATGTGTCCAACAACTGAAGAATGGATAAAAAAGTTGTAGTATTTTTATACAATGGAGTACTACTGAGCTATGAAGAATGATCACATTGAGATATTTATGAATAAATGGAGGCAACTCGAGACCATACTCATAAGTGAAATAAATCAAACTCACATGTATAAATACCACATAGTCTCCCTAGTGTTAGAAATGGTAAGAGTACATAAAAGTTTATGGTAATCATGATTCCCCATTACATTGCTTTGAAGCCTTATAACGTTTCCATTCATT